CGTCTGTCATGCCCCTATCGTGTGCCCCTATCATGTCTGGTGTGCCTTAAATCTTACCTTTGAATGAAATCTTTATGGATTGTTTACAGATGAAGTTTTACACTAGGACCAGATCACCCACGTGGTTGGTCTTCAGCAGTAATAATGTTAAATTCTCTTTTCTTTTAATCTTCCTTTAGGGTCACATAAAGATGAGTGATGTCAGAAAAGCTAAAGCTTTGGTACATGACTTTGTCTAACCTGTTGGGTGATGCTGCTTCAAAAAATAGTTTATCCTTTTCCCCATTCCAAAAATGAATCCATCCAATCAGCAAAAAGGATTGCCCTTCTCTTTAGAGATGATTGCTAAGGTTTGAAGCGGGAAAGAAGGGATGGAAAATCTCCCGAGCCCAGTGGTGCGGTGAATCCTCTGTGTTTGAGTCTTCTTTACACTCATTTCTGCAGCTAGTGAACCTTCATTGTCCCGTGGCTTCAAATGTACAGAGCGTTTTAACTGTTTTGTACCTCAGGTTGTTTTTGCATGTCACTGAAGATTGGAATCTAGAAATTTTGTTGAATTTAACCTTTTTCCCTTAGAGAAATTGCCTCTGAGATCTTTCTAACTTCATCTTAGTATGTTTTAGGAGCAGTTTTCTTTAAGAGGAAGACTTCTCAGTGATCTAGGGTAGTTATTGAGAAACTCAGCCCTGTTAAGCAAGTAGTTGTATGTCCTGTCCTTCTCTGATAGCTCTTACTCCGATTCTTTAATTTGCAGTGATGTCTTAGAAATGGACAAAGTGTCCTCTGAGCTTTTTATACTTTTCAGCAACAGCAGCCAGCAGGGTACCTCTGTATTCCAGTGTGTTCTAATCTCTTGTGTGTCCTGAAAGGCAGCGGGAGTATTTCTCGGGTCACACTGATCTTTGGTTAAAATATAGTTTCCTGCATGTTTTACGGTGCTGCTCTAAGTTAATTCTCTCTCTAAAACTGTTCATTCTTAAGAGAATGAATTTTTTAAGCTTTTCGTCATGGATCGATTTTCCAACCAGGTGGTAATGGGCAGTGGATCAAAATCATATCCTGAATTATTGAATTTTTAATGTAATAGTCTGTGGAAACACCACTCCCTTCCCTCTGTGTCCATCTCCTCCAAAGTTGTCTGTGTCTCCATCCACTCCAGCATAGACTTTGGACTCCTTTATAGGCCACCGTTCCTCCTTCCTCAGTAGGTGTCTTCACTGTTCTCTAACCATTTAAACCTGAATTTGACAAGTGGCTAAAAACTTACTTCATCTGAGACTTGTACTTAATATATAGTTAATTACAGAAGTAGCAACTATTAAAAAAAAACTCTGCTGACTGCTCTTTAAGACCACACTTGTATGCCAGGAGGCAGCAGCCTATACCACTGGACTCTTCACAGGCAGCCAGTGAACAGTGGATGAAGTTGTCACATGGTAGTTTGGCCCGGCCCTGCCTGGGCAGGGCTGTGGGGAGCACTCTCCTCCAAGTGATTCAAACTTCCACAGTCCAGTCTGGGGCCAGTCTGGCTGGGAAGCATTCAGCCCATTTCTTGCCTCAGGGCCACCTTTTCCCGGGCAAGTACCAAGAACTTACTTTATAAGAGATGAGTACTTCAGATCAGTCTTCAGCTGTAGTTGCTGAAGAGTGGAGAAGCTTGACCAGCACTCAAATTTGATTGGCCAGCATAAAAGCAGTGTAATGTGTACGTGCGCCCACACGTGCCTGTGCTCCGGGTAGCTCTCACACCCGTGGGCCCGTAGGCACCTGGGCTGCGCTTTGCGTTCACTTGTGGCTTTATTAGATTCACTGTTGTTGTTGTTTTTAATTGTTGTTTGTTCCTTTTTCTTAAAGAAAGGTTGAAGCAGCTAGATCAGACAAGCATCATTTTGTACTTAATGACAGAAACTTTGGGGAATTACATTCACTGAGCGAGCTTGCATTGTGAAGCAAGAGCCTGCAAAAGGCACCTGTTCTACAAGAAGGTTCTGGTTCTGGAGGCTGGCAGCATTCTGGAGTCTCAGAGCGGGGAGTGGTTGCTGCAGTCGGCGATGCCTGATTGTGCACAGGAGAGGTACACTGTGTACTCTTCTAGGTGTGAAGGTACACAGCTTTGGATTTTAAAATTATGTACACATACACACTTTATATATATGTATGTATGTATGAAAACATGAAATTAGTTTGTCAAAAATGTGTGTGTTTAGTATTTTAGCTTAGTGCAACTATTTCCACATTATTTATTAAATTGATCTAAGACACTTTCTTGTTGACACCTTGAATATTAATGTTCAAGGGTGCAATGTGTATTCCTTTTAGATTGTTAAAGCTTAATTCTATGATTTGTAGTAAATTAACTTTGAGAATATATTTGAGCCCTTCTGTAGTATAATAGGGCTCTTACAGGGTGGGAAGGATTTTAATTTTCCAGTTGCTAATTGAAGAAATGGCCTCATTATGTATTTTGAATTATTGGAGTTTGCCTCTGGGTCCCAGGAACATCTAATGGGAATGACTTGTTTTAGGTAGATTGTGATGATTTTTTTTTTTAACCTAAGTAAATCGGGAAGCAAAGCATTTCACGTTCACGTAGACTCCTATAACTCCTATTCCCTGGTTATGTGGAACACACATTTCATTTCAATTTTCATGTATTAACATGTTGGAGAGGCAGACTTTTTTTCCCAATAATAAAAAACATTGCACATCTAAGGTTGCTATTCAGTAAAATAAATAGAGATAGGTGTCAAATTATTTGGAATACGTAGTGACAAGAGGCCAAGTGGGTCATGTTTTTTTGTGAACTTGTCTTTCACGTACTCCGTAATAGAGAAATTCAGCTTAGACACCAAGACCCGAGACCCAGGCTGGCAAGTGACAGAAGGAAGTTAGTAGTAGTAGGTAAAGCCCAGGCCGATTCTGTTCACTTGAACCGTATGGTTAATTAGAAAGAAGTCACTGTCTCTAGAAAAGCGATGGAAAAATACCTACATCTCTTCTTTTTGGTGGAATCTGGTTACAGAATATGGCATTAGAGTTAAGTCTAAACTGAGTCTTACAGATCTGTAAGCATCCTAAAATAGCAGCCTACCATAATCATCACATAATGAAGTTGACTTTCAGGATGTCAGCACTGACCTCTCCGTGCCACCATTGCTCAGCTAAGCAGAAATTGTCATTCTTAAAAAGAAACAAACAGAAAAGCTTTCTAAATGAGCATGGAAAAAAAAAGCACCCACCCAGAAATTCTAGTAATATGCAGTTTTTGACCTGTTACTGCTTCCACGTGGGGTTTCTTTTCAGCTTTTAACCACTGGAATTTTCTCCCGGCTATGTTCCTCTCTGGAAAATATGTTTGGAAATGCTGCCTTTCAAATCAATGCCATGGTTATCCATATTGTTGAGTTTGTTGTTGCTGTTCCAGAAATGTCCCCTTTTTATAACTTTATGCACACACCTGGCAAATCATTGACATGAGCGTTCAACAGTACTGGGGTTTGGGGGGGTGGGGCGGGGCTCACCAACAGAGCTGGCCCGAATGGCAGTGCCTGGAAAGGCACTACCTTAGAGGACCAGATGTGAGGTTGGTTAGCACGGTTATGAAAATTTCTGTCTAGCCTCCGTTTTAAGTGGTTTTAAGAAATTTTGTATATGGAGGATGGAAATGCTTATATATTTATTGAATCCTTTTATCTTATTTGAAATTAAAGTTATTTGGTGAATAACGGTTTGATATTTGGGGAGGGTTTTGGAGGGGAAGGAACGCCGCTGATAAATTAAAAGCCTTGTTGATTTTGCAGAAAGGTACTGTTAGTGTCTGATAGGATGCCTTTGTTTTGTACATGATCCAGATCTTTGTTTTACATTTCTTTTATCCAAAATATTTAGGCATCTGACATTTTCAACCAAAATTTCAATTATATACTGTGATTTTTATTTGTTGCAATACATTAAAATTTCAGAGGTACTTTGGGGCTCAAAAGCTAGGATTTCTAAGTATGTGCATTTCACATAATAAAGCTGTTAATGGTGAGCAAAGTATTATATACTAACTAGATTTTTCCACATCTGTATAGTATATTATATGTATTTTGTGGTATTGAGATTATAGAAAGTTTAGAGTGTCAAACATGCGTTTAATGTGTATTTTTAAACAAATTTATGGCAATTAAAATATTTGGAGACAAGGGTATCACATTTCAATTTGTAAAGATCTTTTTAACTCTACTGTGTCATTAAGATGCTTTGTATAATGCCAAACCATAGCTGGAGAAACTAAGTTTAATAAATATCAAATAGATTTTCTGTATTAAAGTTTATAAACACTGTGCTCTTTAAACTTCTTCAGCTCTTACTCTGCATTTTCATGTAATTTCTCTTCTGTATCTTAGTGTCTGCTGCTTCTCTGCTTGAAGAGTCTGGTCCCCAGTCCGCCTCTCCTTTTCTGATGACAGAAATCCTGAACCTGCTGCCATGGGTCCTTTTGCATAGATCATAGTTCGTCCTGCTCCAGCAGAACTCAGAAGAGTCTTTTCTGCTGTTCTTGGGAGCCTGGGCTTTTGTGGTTTTATTAAACTAGAGTTTTTCCTTCCAGTTCTGCCTCCTGTTCAGTCTTAGGCCAGACTTGGGCCCACCATCAGGTAGCAAGTGCCGACACTGCCGATCTCTGAGGCCTCGCTGAAGAGTTCTGACCTGGAGCAAAGGGCCAGGATCCAGGGCCACCGCTCGTGAACCTGCCAAGGCCGATAACACGGCTCTTCCTAAACTTCTCTCGTGCAGCCTATCATTGTGCTCTTTATTTCTTACATGTTCACTTTCACTGCACTTTCCAGATTGAGAAGTCTGTTATTAGGCAATGCTGGGGGTTTTTTTGTAGCATACAAAATGAATCCTTTTTCCCCTCAAAAGCTTGAATTCCAGACTGCGAAAATTTCAATTTGAGACATTTAATAGTATACATAGAAAAATAAACTCTAAACTGACAAGTTTAGTTCAGCTTATCGACATAACATTCTAAGAAGAAACGGAGACCAGTTTAAAGCATGTATCTGTCTTTAAATATTAAAAACACAAGACTGCTTCACGTAAGTGTCTCCAGCCAAAATGCAGTTAATCAATATTCCATAGAACGGAGCATTGATGGAGGTGAGTGCTGTCCTCTTCTCCCCTGGTGTGTACATCATTCCTGGGCCACACTGAGGGAACAGCGTCTTTTTCTAAGGGAAAAGAAAAGGTGCTTTCTAAGACCAAGGTCTAGCAGTGCCCACAGCCGCCTCTCCTGCGCTCCCTTCCTTTGCTGGGTCTGTGTCACCTTGGGGTAGACTGCCCAAAGGAAAGGCACCACCTATGATGCTGACCTTGTGGAGCTGTTCTTGGTTCTCAAGTCCTGAGGGATTATCCATGGAGCTCCCAGCTCCAGCCCGGGCAGTCGCTTCTCGCAGCTCTGTTCTTAGATCTGTGTGTGTGCTCATCTGCCCTGCACCTTCTCCCGAGTTTTTGGAGTTACCTGCACAGCCTCGTGATACACTCGGAATCGTCTCGGCAAGAGGATCCGATGGGCCTGAGGGAAACCCCTCTCCAGAACGGGGTCATTCTCCGTGGCCTTCTCCTTGATGAACTCAGTTCCAGTATGGGGGAGCCACCCACCTGTAGGGCAAAGATCAGTTAAGCTCAGGTATGGAAGAGGTGACACCTTTCTGCACACCTTGGGAGAATGCTCACCGCCAGGATGCTGTAGACTCAGAGCAGAAGGACTATTCCTCAGGGCTGAGTCTGGTTCTCAAGTTCCGCTTCTAATTCCCCCCTTCCGCCTCTCCCCTCCACACCACAGTCCCTGTACACCCACTTCTCACCTGGTCCAGCAGCAGCAAGCAGATCATGAGCACTGCAAAGAGTTTGAGGTGCCACATTCTTGACAGAGGGAGGTTGTTGGAGCCTGAAATCCAGGGGCAGTTGCCACTTCCTTTTATAAAGACTGAAAGTCGCCTCTTTTATGGTTGCCAGTTGAGATGGGAGCAAAGTTTATATTTGCAATCACGGTCGATTTAATAAGTTAATGTCTACCAGAGGAATGTGCTCAAGGCCTGCCTTTCAGGCACGTTGTATTTACTGATCCCTCATTTGGACTTTGAGTGATTCTGTTACTGGCTTGGACCTTTTTACCCATTTTGCGGAAAGCACCACCCTCTCCTTCCCTCTGAATGCCACGTGAAGCCACTGAGGGAAACCAGGCACCTAGCCACACTTTGATTCCAAAATAGCTCAGTGAGATCACTCTAATCAAAATAGAATTCTAATAATGAGGTCTTCAGAAATAGTGTTGACCCCTTTCGGCCTTGTCTAGGAAAAGCACCACCAATATCTCCTGTTGCAGGCAATTGGATAAGGCCCTTATCTCCCTTCTTTGGGAGGGTGCTTCGGCAAGTGTGATCTAACGGTGCCCCCAGGTCCCCCTTTCGTACAGATGGACTGTCTATCTGCTCCAGATCATCTCACTAGAAGAATGGACCCAGTGGCAAGTTCAAAGTCTGGCCTACCTGCCTCTTCCCAGGGGAGGGGCAATCAAGACTGATAGGGGACTTACTTGAACTATGGCTGAACAGAGTGAATGAGTATAGGTGGTTTTATCTTTAAAAATGTGAACGGGTTGTCAGCAGAGGCTCCTAAGTCGGTGGGATTGCTTGATGGTGGTGACAGATCACACCGATCCTTGAATTACAGCTTTCCACCCAGTAGGTGACTGGGGCCATCTGCAAAGCAAGAGCCTTCTAGCAGCCCCAGGTGAGCAGGCCTCGGGCTGAGAAACCGCTAAAGCACAAAACACCCATCAGCTTAAGCAGGAGCAGCTGCAGATTGCTGGAACAAGAAAACGTGTGTACCGCAGTCATGAGGTGTACAGGTACTCCTTAAATGACGTGGACATTTTAATAAAAGTGGGGCAAAGGTGTAACTTATGAGTAAGATTGATAGGACTTCAGATCCTCCTATGACCTGGAAGGATAAGCCAACAGGACAGATGTAACGGGAATCTTTGGTATCTCCCTAAAAACCTCTTTCCAAGGCCCGTGTCGTCAGGTTGGGTATTTGAGGCTGTCTGTTCTGCAGGGTTAAGTGGAGGAGATGTAGGACAGCATGGTCGCCAGTCCTCTTGTTGAGGGAGCAGAGGATGGTACGATGGACCTGAGCTGGAACCGGGGGAGCAGAGTGTGACTCCACAGACCATACAGCCGGGCCCCAAAGGAGACCCCACTGCTTGCACTTTAGGAACTTGGAGAAACAGTCTAGTTTCTGTTCCTTCCCCTTAACGCCTAAGCTTGGATCTTGAATCACTCCAGGTAGGAGCTTAACTAGGAACATCTGTGGAGTGGGAAAGAAGCTATGTGATCACCTAGTGAACATTAGGTAAGAACACAAATCTGATTAGATAAGCAAAAGACTGAATAACGTGATGTCCTAGAGACAGTTGGGTTTGTGGCCTCGGTGCCAGCCTCCCCTTAAATAGGGCGTGATCTGCCAAATGGGATTTTGAAACTGCTAGTTCCAAAGATGGTTTCTCCTCCTCTTTCATATCTGCCTTCCCCCACTCCAAGCAGAATCAAACTAGCCAATTCCCCAGGCAAGGAAAGGGCCTGAGGCTCCATTGTGCACCGGGGGGGGGGGGGGGGAGAGAAAGCATCATTCATCACCGTGAGTGTGACAACACTGCAGAAGCCTTTGGGGTTCAAGCCTCGATCTTGTATGCCACCCCTCCTCCCAAGGGAAAAGTCGCATCAGTTTACTGCCCACGGAAGGAACTCCTGTTTGGAGAAGTATTCCAACATATGTCTACATTACCTCTGTAGTTGCATTTAAGTTCAGCGTGGAGCAAAAATAAAAGTTTTAAAAGGAAAGCGGCAGGGGCGCCTGGGTGGCCTAGTCCGTTAAGCGCCCGCCTTTCGCTTAGGTCATGATCTCGAGGTTCGTGGGTTCGAGCCCCGCGTCGGGCTCTGTGCTGACTGCCAGCTTAGAGCCTGGAGCCTATTTCAGAGTCTGTGTCTCCCCCTCTCTCTGACCCTCCCCTGCTCACGCTGTCTCTCTCTCTCTCCTACAAATAAATAAAAAAATATATATATATAAAAAAAAGGAAAGCCGCATGCAGACAGCACTACGCTGAAGCGACAGCCATTCCCATAGCCCTTGAATAGTTGTGAAAGCCTCTTCCTGAAATTAATAAATAAAAATCAACGGGCTCTGTATGGTCAAGTGTTTTGCTGAACGAATAAGCACACGACATAGTCCTTCCTCCAGCAGAAAGGACTAAGCAGCCTTTAGCAACCTCAGCCATAAGGAGAAAAGAACGGCTGGGAGGCAGGAGCCGGGGGGTCTAGGTTAACGGACCAGCCGTCAGTCCTTTCCCTCTGAGCTCCAGTTTCTTGTTCTCTCAGTGCGGTGGGAGGAGATCTGAGGCTTCTCAGCCAAGGACATTTGTGGGGAGTTCAAGTGATTAATTTACAAGAAGAAAATGAGAAGCCTGTTTGATAGCTTATGGCTTGGGAAGTCTGCTGACAACTGCCAGGGATTTTGTGCCGCTGAGGTGAGTGCCTAGGATGAAAGAAAGAGGGTGTAGCTACGTGAGCAGTTTGAAACACATCCCAGATGGAGAGGAGACCATCAGGGCTCGGCTGTAACTGGAGACTTTTTTGCTGCCCCTGAGCAGGACATGTCTAATAAAAAATGGAAGAATCTTAAATGGAAAAACTTTTCCAGGTAAAACTTCAATGGAGGGTCAAAGTGTATTTGCTTTTTTGCTGGCTGGAATTGGCACAGACTTCTGGCCCTGCACTCGGGAGGCCTGCATCTCGGGGACCTTGTTGGCAAATCAGAGTTCACTTCGCCACCTCCTACAGCGCAGAGATAAAAGCCCTTGTGGGGCAGGGCAGTGCTGAGGCAAAGAAGGGCTAGATGAGTAAGGGGTTGTGTCCTGGAAGCAGAGGAAGGAGCCACACCCGGGGCTGGAGGCTCCGAGTGGATGGATTATAGGCACTGAGGCCCACAGCAGTGGTCCCTTTCTTAAGAGACTTTACTCAGGAGGTGCCTGTGTGGCTCAGTCAGTTAAGAGTCTGACTTTGCCTCAGGTCACAATCTTGCCGTTCAAGAGTTCAAGTCCCGCTGGCATCTGTGCTGACAGCTCAGAGCCTGGAGCCTGCTTAGGATTCTGTCTCCCTCTCTCTCTGCCCCTCCCCCCTCATGCTGTGTCTCTCTCAAAAACGAATAAATGTATCCAAGTTCTTTTAAACAAAAATTTTTTTAAATGCCAAGACCATGACCTGAGCCAAAGTTGGACACTCAACCAACTGGGCCACCCAGGCGCCCCTACCCAAATTCTTTTCTGTACAGATCTCTGCAGGTAGAATGGTCTCTAACTTCATCCCAGATCACATACAGGAGTACCGAGCTGTAACCCACCATATCCCCACCCCCACCCCATCCCCATCGCCCGCTACACAGGGCTCCATGGCCCCCAGCTTAAAGAAGGAAGCCCTTTGGTGAGAGACAGCCTTCTGGCAGCCTTTAACAATTTTATTCAAAAACAGAACTTCAGTAAAAGGGTCTTTTCAGAGCATTCCAGGGGATTCAGGCCCAGACTCGGGGCCTGGTCTGGGCCAAGAAAGAGTTAAGTTTGCTTTTGAGCTGTTATCTTTAAAAGAGTCAAGGAACCAGGAAGAAATAACATCTTGGGGTAAAATGGAGCCAGAAAGATTGGAGAGGGTAGCCATCTCCCCAAGGAAGCTTGGGGTAGAGGGAAAAGGACCGATTACTGGCCTGTCAAGGGAGTGGCCCTCCCCTGGTGCCTGAACCTGTTGAAACTAAATGAGGTGAAGGATGGGTACATTTACACATTCAGGTCCCCAGCTGCATCAGATTTTCAAGAGTCTAGGACCCAAATATGCAGCAAGTCAGTCCTGGGAACAAATATGGACAGAGCCCAAGAAAACTGGACCACGTCTGGGGAGGCAGTTTTCACCACACAGCTGTCCTTTGTTAAGCCTGCCGGATGCCTACCCATCTCACAACTCACCACAACCCTATGGCTTTATATTAACACATTATCTCACTGGCGAAAAGTTCAAAGCTCGGGATACAGATTTCTTGCTGTCTCAGACAGTGAAGAAACACAGGTTAAAGGGTATGGAGGCCCCAGTTCACCAAACTCAGAGGCTCTTTACCCTGCCTCAGAATCCAATTTAGCATTGTTTCTAAGTATTTTAATTTTGGTTCCTAAAAGGCAATAACAATCGTTAGAATAAAAGAGGGGCGCCTGAGTGGCTCAGTTGGTTAAGTGTCTGACTTCGGCTCAGGTCATGATATCGGAGGTCATGATTTCAAGCCCCACACCAGGCTCCGGGCTGACAGCCTGGGGCCTGGAGTCTGCTTCGGATTCTGTGTCTCCCTCTCTCTGCCCGTCCCCCACTGACACTCGGTCTTTCTCAAAAATAAACAAACGTTTAAAAAGAAAAAAAAGAGGGGCGCCTGGGTGGCTCAGTCGGTTAAGCGTCCGACTTTCGCTTAGGTCATGATCTTGCGGTTCGTGGGTTCGAGCCCCGCATCGGGCTCTGTGCTGACAGCCAGCTCAGAGCCTCGAGTCTGTTTCAGTCTGTGACTCTCTCTCTGACCCTCCCCTGCTCACACTGTCTCTCTCTCCTAGAAATAAATAAAAAAAAAACATTAAAAAAAAAGAAAAAAAAGAGTAAGAAGATACAGCCTGGGCCAGAAGCTGAACTACACTGGGAAAGTTGCTGCTCTGGAAACAGCAGGAAGTGTCCTTAGAAGTGAGGGAATTCTGGGGCGCCTGGGTGGCTTAGTCGGTTAAGCGTCCGACTTTCGCTTAGGTCATGATCTCGCGGTCCGTGGGTTCGAGCCCTGCGTCCGGCCCTGGGCTGACTGCCAGCTCAGAGCCTGGAGCCTGTTTCAGTCTGTGACTCCCTCTCTCTGACCCTCCCCTGTTCACGCTGTCTCTCTCTCTCTCCTAGAAATAAATAAAAAAACAAAAAAAAAAAGTGAGGGAATTCCTAGACGTGGAGCTGTACCTAATTCTACCATTTCCTGGTGAAGGGAAAATGAGGCCTTTCTACTAAAAAGAGAATTCAAAGGCTCTAGAACAAGAGTAAGCTTTTCAATAAAAGGCCAGAGAGTATTTTAAGCTTTATGGGCCATACGTGATTAAAACCATTAACAACCTGGTACAAAAACAGGCAGTTTGGTGGCACAAGCTCTAGGGGCCAAGGGGGGACCTCAACACCTGCTTTCCTGGCTGACTTCCCCTCAGGCTACAGAAGGCCTGTCTTTGGAGGAAAAGCAGTCTAGCAGAGCTTTAGAACCATTAGTGTGCCAGCCTCTACCATTCATCAGCTGTGTCATTTAGTCAAATTACTTACATTGTGCCTGTGTTCTCATCTGCAGAAGGAGTACAATAATTGTATTTAATTTAAAAAAGGAAGGTGTGAGGTTTAAAGGCACTTATGTGAAGGGCTGAGTACCCGACACACAGTAATTGGAATAGTGACTCGGTCCTGTGACTGGGGGAGTAGACCACCGGCAAGCCACAGTTCACGGAGCAGCTGCTGCTACTTTCTCAAAGATTACAAAACAAGCACTGAGCTCAGATCCTTGACCAAACTCAGCAGTGAAACTGTTCAGGCCTTGCTAGGAAGGGAGTTCATGAACTTGAGTATCAGCAGTCACAGCAAGAAGTCGCTCACAGAAATGCAAAATGACAGCGGTGCAGTCCATATGAAGTTTATTATGTCTTCAAGACACTACAGTGTAGACTCCTCTCCCCGAGGAGGGCTTTCAGAAGCAGGGAACCATTATCCTGATGGGTGGCTCAACGGTCATTTTCATAAGCAGCTGGATTCTTCCTCTTGGATTTCTCAAACTCCTGGGTCCCCCAGGTGTAGAGAAGATAAAACCCTACAAATGCTTTAAAAGTCAAAAGCGAGAGTAAGCAGTGCACCCACATAAGACACTGGGGTCCCGGTCTTCTGACTCACTGCAGGTTCTGCCCTCCTGTCTCTAGTTTCCAAGAAGCCACTTTTAAACCAGATAATGAAGGAAGGTTACATCACACACCCATCTTACAGGCGACCAAAAGAAAGGGCCAAAAGAAAATTTGGGGACAAATTTTCCCTGTCTCCTGTTGTACATTTTATATATTTTAATGAGATAACGATAATTCACTTGACATAAACTATGCAACATAAACACCTAAGTGTACACTTCTGGGGTGTTAAGCAAATTCACAATGTTGTGCTAATTTTCACCACTCTGTGCTGATTTAACACAAAAAGTTCATCGCTACTTAGTGGGTAAAGATGACCTCAGAGGGAGGCCCTGGAATCACCCAAGTGACCTTGGTCGGGTCGTTTAAGTTGTCTGTGACTCAGTTTGCTGATCGGTGAAGGCCGGGAGGATGATACTGTACTAGCGCAAGGGCTTTCAGGAACACACAACGACAAAACGGGCGTGTCTCAAGTTGCAGAGTGCCTGCCCGACCGACAGTGCTCACCGAAGGGCCCCGCTGTTAGCGGGAGATGAAGTCCAACCCCCCTGCCCGGCCATGGCACTCACGCGGCAGAACGCGAAGGATGCACGCCCGCGTGCGGCGCAGCACGTTGGGGATGCCCTTGCTGAAGTAGTGCGGGAAGGCGCGCTGCTCGAAGGGCGACAAGCTGTAGGTGATCACATGCCGCATCCGTGTCAGATTCCCAAACTCACGGCCCATGGTCGCGGCGGCACCTGCAACACCGGAGGGGTGGGACAGGCGCTTGCCTCAGTCCCTGGACGGACGCATCCACCCAAGAGGTCCTTCCCGGCCCAGGCGGCGCCTCCACCCTCCCAGGGGCCACCACGATCCCGCGACCAGACCTCACTCCCGCGCGGGGGTCACCTCGCCCTCCACAGTCGCGGGAAGCACCGACCTCCTTGGCGTCACTTCCGCTAGGTGGAAGCCGCTCCGGGAGCCCGTGAAGTCACTTCCGGGAAATACCATTTTCCTGCCGACTCCAGGGGGAGGCACCGTTGCTCCCGCTTCTGCAGAGAAGTGACCTGGTCGGGTGGCCCCGTGGGTGGGCGGGACCATGCGGCGGCCTCTGGAGTCCGGGTTCTCGACCGGTGCGGCCGGAGGATGTCGCCTCAGCCCCCTGCTCCTCGGTGCGGCGTCCGGGGCCGAGGGGAGCCGAGATGTGGAGAGAAAGGGCCCCGCCTGCGTCCCGGCCGGGCGCCGAGGACCTGTGGGTCCTGCGCCTGCGGAGGCGCCCAGAGACCCTTGCTGGGCCGCCGCACGCGACTTTGTGCGCTCCGGTTCGGGCGACAAAGGGGTTCGGTTCTTTTCAGACCCCAGTGCCAGGATCAGGGGCGTGCATGTGGGGCTTCTCTCGGCTGCCGCGGCCTGAGAACGCGCTAGCAGGGCGTAGACTTTCCCGGGGTAGAATAAACACGTTTCCTCAGGTTGTGGGAGCCTTCCAGAAGTGGGCAAGCGGTGGATAACTGGCTGTTGGTGGCGGTAGGAGGACGGAGACTACCCCACAGCCGCCAGCCTCCCTCCGGAAGCGCTTTCTACGGAAAGTTGCAGGGCGGCTTGTGCATGGAATGCCAGCCTTGTGCGTTGTAGGAATGAGCTGCCATTCAACAATTGAGGCGTTTTATGCGACCCTGCCTCCCAGCCACGGGTCGAGGAGCCTTGGCATAGGCAGTGAACTTAAAATACGCAAACATAAAATTTGAAGGTCAGTTTCGTCAACCTAGGTACTGCACAGACCGGTTCTCTGTCTTGTACAACGAGTGTGGGTTGACTTCCTTCCAGCATGGTCTCCTTAGGGGTGGCCCTGGACATGCCCTCATTTCAGCCGCTCATGGGCTTCCCTTTGTCCCATTTCTCTAAAACATCATCACCCACCTCGTCTCAGCTCCAAGGCAAGAACATAAGTACTTACATAACAATTAAGAACCAACACCCTAGCAAATTCTACCGCCATTTGATTAATTCACAGAAAACAACCTGCAAACAGCTCTAAACCTTTCAACCAAAATAATGTACAGATGAATGTGTAGATGAAAGTAAAGAATCAAGATACTATATCCTAAAATGAGTCAAGGTTAAAGGTGGTGTCCATTTTAAACCATGTTGCAGCATTCCAACTACATAGTGTATACCAAGTTCCCTAAGAGGATTGGGAAACCCAACAGTTCTCTGTTCTCAGGGATTTCAATGCCAATTGTGAGTTTTTTCTCTCCACATCAACAATCATTGTAAGCACCTGGAAGCGGGCGGGGTGGTGAGGAAGGGAGAGCAAGAGTGAACCCAATACCATAAATTGCATACCACAGGTTTTCGTATCATCATGAATAATTAGCTTTTCCCCGTGCTTTGGAAGTTTCAGCAAGCTCCTCAGGAACATTTTAAGAATCCTAGTCTCAAAAAAGGGGTGGTTTGGGGGCGCCAGGTGGCTCAGTCGGTTAAGCGTCGGACTTCAGCTCAGGTCATGATCTCATGGTTTATGGGTTGCAGCCCTGCTTCTGCTCTGTGCTGTCAATGCAGAGCGTGCTTTGGATCTTGTGTCTCTCTCTCTGCCCCTCCACCCATCTGTCCATCTGGCTTTCTCTCTTTGAAAAATAAAAGTTAAAAAAACGTGAAAGGCGTGGTTTTAAGGTCACTTCTCAACTTCTCTGGACCTTTCAGCTTGCATCGGTAGTCCACTGGCGTAATGCTAACCTAAGAGGTTTTAAATAAACGCCAGAAAAGAAGGGAGAGGAAAGCTAAAAAGCCAGATACATCCGTATCTAATGAGGACAAATTGGATAAACAGGATGTTATTGGCTGTTTGATACACAGCTGATAAAAATTATCTTCAGGTAGGCATCCTTGAGGTCTGATTGGCGAAGTGAGCCTATCCACCCACACACCTAAAATTTATTTAAGAGACCGACCTACGCTCTTCCTGGCTTTTAGGTAGAAGGCTGGTATGGGGAAATGTATCCCTTGCTAGTTCTTCCAAGCCATGGCGCTTCTCAGCAACTTCTTCCTTTGGTTTTTCTGCTTTTCCTGGCTGTGTTCTCCTATTAGCCTTTGTTCTCAGGCTTCTAGAGGAGAAGTTCAGATTGCAGCTGGTGCTGAGTGGGAAGCTGAGGCTGAGCCTTGGTCCATGGTGAAGCCTCTAGATAAAAAAGACAGCCCTGGCTTCCTTCCCCCTCTCTTCAAGGTTCTGTATAAAGGGCAAGGTGGTGCCCCTAGGCAGCAGCCAGACTCCACAGCTTTGCGTTACATGAAGAGACTTTATAAGTCCTATGCTACCAAGGAGGGGATTCCTAAATCCAACCGAAGTCCTCTCTACAACACTGTTCGGCTCTTCACATCCTGTGCCCAGCACGAGCAGGCTCCTGGGGACCAGGTGACAGGTGTGTAGGAGTGGATTGGTTAATGGGTGGTGGGAAGATGACAAATTAGTCTGCAATTCAGTTAAAGGAGATGGGACTTGTTCCTTGAATTGCAGTTTACTTTGCATGATATTCAGTATCCAAGTTCAAGCAACTCTGGTGCCTGAGCTTACGGTTTCTAATATCCTCATGTATTAAGGGGGTGGGGGTCCCATAGGATAGATCTTGAGAGCCGGAAGAGACTTACTAGCTCTAAAGACTGAGGAATGTTTTGCTGGGGATGGCCATTTTGTCCAAGGTCACAAAATCAAGACTGGAAACCAGGTATCTTGACCTGTATTTGTTCGTTGTTCCCATTCCGCCAGTGCTGACCTGGTAGATGGTGTCTAAAACCTCTCCTAGCTCTTGGTTTACTGTGTTAATTAGGATGTTTTCCTCCTGTCTGTTCCTCTGAGAGGAAAGTTTAAGTCCTCACTGGGAACGTAGGTCCTCACAAGAGCCAAGTGTTAGTCAACAGTCTGACTCAGCACCTTGGTATCGTGTGTGAGAAAGGAGCAGTGCTTTTAAAAAACAAAACCCCAAAAAAACAACCCTGTATTCACTACCTCATGACCACGAATGGTGCTAACACAACAAGCCACGTAGGGCCCTTTAAAACCTTTCCTTCTTCCTGATGTCTTACTGTAGTGCTTTTAGAGCCTCTATTATCAATTTCAACTGTTCCAAATTAGATAAATAGCTTTTCTTTATTGACCCTATTCTTGGGGCATATAAGTGTTTTTAATAAGCTGGGTGTTTTTATGACCTCCTTCTCTTTAGACGCTTTCCTTTCCAAGAGAAACGGAGTATTTATTGGCTTCTATATGTTTGAAGCAAATTAGTGAGCTTAGGAAACGGAGCGATTGTTGTTTCCATTCACCACCAAAGCTGTTCTGACTTTCTGGTGATAAAGTACCCGGCTATATTTGCTGGCAGTTAGTTACGGAAATGCTCAAGCGCATTTTCACTGTAACCACCGCTTCCTCACTTCTTGAAGCTGGATGAAGAGGGGGAAGAGAAGGGAGAAAGCACGCGATGCAGGACTAATGTTGTGATTTGACTTGCTATTACGTTTGTGTATTCAAGCACTACACTATTGGGTTGTTTGTCTTCTCAGGAACCAGTGCCTCTGTGGACCTGCTCTTTCACCTGGATCATGTTACTGCCGTGGAACACTTACTCAAGTCAGTCTTGCTATTTACCTTCAGCAACTCCGTTTCTTTTCCCGCTGCTGTTAAATGTGTGTGCAACCTGGTGATGGAAGAGCCCGGGTCTCCTACCCGGAACCCCCGTAGAGCTCCGTCCTCATTTACGTTGACCTCCCAGTTGGAATTTCCAAAGAAATACAAATGGATTGAGGTGGATGTGACTGCCCCTCTTCAGCCTCTAGTGGCCTCCAACAAGAGAAGCGTTCACATGTCTGTAAATCTGACGTGCGTGAAAGACCAGCCGCAGCCCCCTTCAGCACGGGACAGTCCACTTAATGTGACTCTTCTGGTGCCCCCCTCACTGCTTCTATATCTGAACGACACGAGTGCCCAGGCTCATCACAGGTGGTATTCCCTTCACTGTAAAAGGAGGCCTTCTCCGAATGCTGGCCCCAAGAGAGGGCTGTCTGCCTGTCCCCAGGGAGAAAAGCCGGCTGAGGGGGTAAGACCTTCCCATCATCGGAGAGGTCGGGAAACTATCGGCTTGGAATTGCCCAAGCCTCTGGTTCCAGCTCCTTTGAATCTGAGCGAATACTTCAAACGGTTTCTTTTTCCCCAAAACGAGTGTGAGCTCCATGACTTTAGACTTAGCTTTAGTCAGCTGAAGTGGGACAACTGGATCGTGGCCCCGCACAGATACAACCCTCGATACTGTAAAGGGGACTGTCCAAGGGCAGTTGGACATCGGTACGGCTCGCCAGTTCACACCCTGGTGCAGAATATCATCCACGAGAAGCTCGACTCCTCCGTGCCGAGACCCTCCTGCGTGCCTGCCAAGTACAGCCCACTCAGCGTTCTGACCATCGAGCCGGACGGCTCGATCGCTTACAAAGAATATGAGGATATGATCGCCACTAAGTGCACCTGTCGCTGACACCGGGTTCTAGAAACTAAAGCCTTGAGCCTCTTCGGCAAAGGAACTGCCGCGCACCTATCTGTGCCTTCAGGAGAAAGTTCCGTGTAAGGGGGAGCCCGTGTAAATGAGCACATTCTGTGGCATCTTGCTGGGAAAGTGGTAACATCTGCCCCTTGAATGTCTAGGTGTAAATGAAATGCAGTTAACTTGGGGGGCTCTAAATTTTTCTCCTCAACGATTTTTTTTTCCCCTTTACATTGGAATCTTGTTTTGGATGTAAGAAAAGAACCTTAAATCTTGGATGGAACTGCGGCTCTACAGAGACCGTTCCGAGCGCCGTAGTTGTATTGAATGGAAGAATAAATCCCTGTAAGTGGCATAAATTCTCTGGGTGTGTGTGCTTGGTTTTTGTTGTTGTTCTGGTTTTTAAGGTTTTCTTTTAAATAGCTATTGGGGCAGCAGAAGTGGATCTCCAAGCTAGTCTTCACTTTTATCTTTTTCAGAGCAAAAGAGGCTAGCGTATCTATCTACCTAAAACCCGGTGCGGTGACATTGACTGGGATTAGAGAGTAAGCACATAACTCAAGGCTGTTGGATTAGCGTGAGAGGTGCACAGTCTGCTGATTCTGCTCATTAGTTGGCATATATAAATAGGGTGATTCACACCAAACAGTGTACCATTTGTCCCATTTATTTAAAGGAAATTGCCTTGCAGATATTTATAAGAAAATGTAAAGATTTTAAACTAGCTTTTCCTCTATAGACTCAAAATCTCTGTATGGAAGGAAGTCAAGGGGTGTTTTTTCTTTTTTTTTTTTTTTTTTTTTTTTTTTTTTTTTTTTTTTTTTTTTTTTTTTTTTTTTTTTTTTTTTTTTTTCCTGTACTCTCCTCCCCCACAGATTTTTTCCAGGTGGATCTGGGACTTCTGCCACTAAACTAACCCGGCAGTGATGAGGTTATGTTACAGAGCAGGCCTTGTTTGGATATGAGGGCTTACATGTGGGTTTTCAATAAATCTACTTTGAGGGAGCCCTGGAGATCCAGAGTGAGGGCTGATAGAGTAACCTTAGTTTCAGCGTTTCTAACCCCGTAATTGACAAACCAAAGTAACTCCTAAATGCAAGATGTACTCACATTCTTAGAGATCATCTCTTCTTAGTGGTTAGTGTCGAAGGAAGCCAGCTGAGATTTTGATAGGGGTTGTGTGGAATCTATAGATGAGTTTGAGGAGTATTGACATCTTACTGATGTTAAGTCTTGTAATGCATGAGCATGGGAGGTGTTGGCTTTGATTTGGGTCTTTCTGTACTTGGAGAGTGTAAGTTTTGAAATTGTTACAGTAAAATCCTTCTTTGTTTTATTTATTTACTTATTGAGGGGGAGAGCGGGTGAGCACAGAGGGTAGGGGAAGGGGGAGACAGAGGATCTGAAGCAGGTTTTGCACTGACAGCAAAGTGAGACCATGACCTGAGCCGAAGTCAGTCACTTAACCGACTCAGCCACCCGGGGAACCCCTGTGGTTAGATTCTAAGCATTCTTCTTGATGTGATTCGGAATAGAATGGTTATATTCATTTTCCACGGTTTCCTAGTGTGCTATTGTGCATACATGTCACAATCCTGCACATAGTGACATACATATGCACATAAATGCTCTTGCTAAAGATTTCTTCCTCTGAAAAACATTAAAAATTTTCTTTAATCAAAAACTTTAAGAAGCAGACTGGGGACATCTGGGTGGGTCAGTCGGTTGGTTGCTTCAGATTCTGTGTCTCCCTCTCTCTCTCTGCTCCTCTCTCCTACGTGTGCTCGCTCTCTCTCTCTCTCTCTCTCTCTCTCAAAAACATTAAAAAAAAGACTAAAAAGGGAGAAGTTATAGATTGCCCAGTTTCCAAATAACTTTGCCATCTTGTCTAACTTGAAGTCATTATTCTTTCATAAATGAGGCTGCCACTCTAAGAGATAGATGGTGTTTCAAGGGTTTTACTCCCATTAATGCCTTGTCATTATTGGGAGAAAAAAAAAGTGGCCTGGAAAGGGCCTGAGTAATGGAGGTGATGTGCAACTGAACTTACTGGAAGGTAAGTCTCCTGAAACCCTGCTCTTTTCAAATGGTCTGTATGAAATATGTATCAAGTATTCCTATAAACTGAATTTTTCGCCTAGTTCTATGATTGAGTATGGATGTGGTCTGCAGTGTGACGGTTTAGAGAAGAGGTAGTTACGTTGGAAGTTAAGTATAAAGGTCAGTGTCAAAATGAGGAGCAGGCAAATAGCTCATCCTTGGAGTGAGTTCTAAAGTTGGCTTAGTGGGACACCTGGCTGGCTCACTGGGAGTTGAAGGCATGAGCATGCGACCCTTGATCTCCGGGATGGGAATTCAAGCCCCACATTGAGCATAGAGCTTACTTAAAAGTAACAATTAACAGTTGACTTGTGGGTAGTATTTTGATTCTACAGTTGAGTAAGGATAACTTGAAGAACTGTTTGTTTGTTGTTTGTTTTCAGGCTTTATTTGTAAATCGAATTTCTCCATTCATAGGACAGTGTTAAAAATAAGGGACGATATATCTGCTAAATTTAAACTTCAAAGATTCTCTTCTACACAATGGAGGAGGGTATATTGGTCTCGCACCTGCCTCCATATGAAATCTGCTTTTCTTCGGTTACTCCTACAAAAGCTGCCACTAGAGAAAACAAATGAGGAAGGACAGCAGTGATTGAAATCTGGAAATTCAAGGATGAGGCTACCTCTGTCTTAATGGGTGCTTTCAGCTTTGGTATTTAGTCCAGATGAGATACGGGGTCACCTAATGTGATGGGTGCCCCACTATGCCCAGGGACAATGGGGCATGTCAGGGGCCGGTTTTCCCTCCAGCTCTGAGTTTCCTGCTCTTTATCGGTTTAAATCATCTCCTGGGTTAAATGGAATACTTGGTCTTTTACCAACCAGTTTCAGGGGCAGCAGCTGCTGGACTTGGTTTAGAGCTCAGTCTGGACAGTGTGGGCAAAAATAAAGCTGCTCTGGGGCGCCTGGGTGGCTTAGTCGGTTAAGCGTCCGACTTTCGCTTAGGTCATGATCTCACGGTTCGTGGGTTCGAGCCCCGTGTCAGGCTCTGTGCTGACTGCCAGTTCAGAGCCTGGAGGCTGTTTTAGTCTGTGACTCCCTCTCTCTCTGACCCTCCCCTGCTCACGCTGTCTCTCTCTCTCTCTCTCCTACAAATAAATTTAAAAAAATAAATAAATAAAGCTGCTCTGTCCAGGGGTAAAGGAGAAAGTGGGCATGGTTACATAAGTGATGAAAGAAAAATGCTCCGAACTTGATTAATAACAAAAATTTAATAAATTTTAATTTGTAATTTTGAGAATAGAGGTTAAAAAATGAGTGAAGTGGAATTAAAACTGTAAAAATAATTCAAAAAAAATTTTAATGTTGGGGTGCCTGGGTGGCTCAGTCAGAATATTCGACTTCTGCTCAGTTCATGATCTTGTGGTCTGTGAGTTTGAGCCCCACGTTGGGCTCTGAGCCTGCAGTCTGTTTGGGATTCTGTGTCTGCCTCTCTTCCCTTCCCCAGAGCAGATGTTAAAATGTTAAATGTTGGAAAAAAAAATTTTTTTAATGTTTTTAATGTTTGTTTATGAGAGCAAGAGAGACCCAGAGACAGAAGGCTAGTGGGGGAGGGGCCAAGAGACAGAGACACAGAATCCAAAGCAGGCTCCAGGCTTTGAGCTGCCGACAGAGCCCTATGTGAGGCTCAAACTCCTGAACTGTGAGACCATGACCTGAGCCTAAGTCAGAAGCCCAACTGGCCGAGCCACCCAGGTGTCCCCAAGCCCTTAAAATACTCTCTTAAAGGATGGTAGTCCCCCAAACATCTAAGTATATAGATAGGCTGACTGGTTTGATAGAAAGGTGCGGTGTTTTGCCCATTAACTGTTCTCTAAAGAGAAGGCAAAAATCAACACAATCAGGAGATGAAGACCCCTCATCCTTGACCAGAATTGACAAGTAAAGTAGGTCCTCTGTTTGTGTTGAATAACTTCGTGGTGCACTTGTCTTTCCCAAATGTTCTAGTTAATGTTAGGAAAGGTCCTTGATTTAAGGTTAGACTGGGGCTATTAATAATAATCACCTAAAGGATTTTTTACATGGCTTGACAGTATTGCTTTGTCTGACTTTAGTGTGTGATGCAATTTGTATGGAAGAATTAGGTAACTAAATATATGTGGGTAAGGGTCCTGCATTTTGGGCGTTGTCTTGCTTAAGTGCGACGTGTACAATTGAGCGTCCTTTATAGACCTGTCGTTGGTGCTGGTGTCTTTCCATGTTGGAATGTGATGGCGGCCAGTGTTAGGAGTTCACGGCCTGTGCTTGGGTCATTTTGGCTTTCTCGGAAATAGCTCATTGAATAAATATTTATTGAACACCGACTATGGGCCAGGTGCGGTGTGGTTAAGAACAGAGGTTGATGTTCTCATCTGCAGGAAAAATATATCACGTACCGGAAATGGAGACTTCCTTGATGACCCTAAATTCCATCACTGAGCATTTGTCACCACAGAACATTCTTTGCAGGAATACATCCTGCGTGGTACTACATGAGCAAGCTGAATGAATAATCTTTAGATTAGAATTTTTTAAATCCTATTTTTTATTTTAAGGTAATTGTAGATTAACAAGCAATTGTAAAATACCAGAGAGATCACCTAAATCTTGAATCCAGTTTTTTTCAGTAATCTTTTTTAATGTTCTATTTATTTCTAGGAGAGAGAGAGAGAGACAGCGTGAGCAGGGGAGGGTCAGAGAGAGAGGGAGTCACAGACTGAAACAGGCCCCAGGCTCTGAGCTGGCAGTCAGCACAGAGCCCGACGCGGGGCTCGAACCCACGAACCGCGAGATCATGACCTAAGCGAAAGTCGGACGCTCAACCGACTAAGCCACCCAGGCGCCCCTAGTAATCTTATCTTAGAAAACTGTAGCATATTATCACAACTAGGGTACTTTTTTTTTTTTTTTTTGATGGAATAGGTCAGATTCTAGATGCTGGTGCTTTGATTTATTACTTTTTTTTTTTTAATACTTATTTTTGAGAGAGACAGTGCAAGGGAGGGAGGGGCAGAGAGAGAGAGAGAGAGAGAGAATTAGAGGCAGGCTCCAGGTGGGGGATTATCAGCACAGACCCCGACGGGGAGCTTAAAGTGACAGACCGTGGGATCTTGACGTGAGCAGAAGTTGGATGCTTAACCGAGTGAACCATCCAGTTGCAATAGTGGTAAACAAAACACTTGTCCTCACGGAGATGATATCACAGTGGGGAAAGACAGAGCCTCCAGACAGAGCAAAATACTGTTT